AATATGACTATGACAGTCTGACAGACTGTCAGTCTGCAATACAATAAAAAATTACTTAAAAAAGTCCCTTTTGTTTATTATTGTATTTCATAGTACTACGCACGCGCTGAATTTGAGAATCTTCAGTGTTGCCGGTTATAAGCAAAATAACTAAACGAAATATATTTCCGTACTTTATTAAGTTTTAATAAATAAATTAAATAAATTTAAAATAATTATTCACCACATTTATGTCAAATAGGTGTACTAGGTATACTATAGTATATATATACTATAGCAGTCACTGCTGAGCAGTGTTGTCAGACGTTTAAATAATTTCAGAAAGCTCATCAAAATGGCGGTTATATTATTAAATCTTTAATACTTAATTAATTATAATTAATTAAGTATTAAAGATTTAATAATATAACCGCCATTTTGATGAGCTTTCTGAAATTATTTAAACGTCTGACAACACTGCTCAGCAGTGACTGCTGCCGAACACAGAAGATAAAGAAGCGTCCTTTTTCTATGGTAGCGTCCGTTAAATATGATGCCATGATTGTTAGGTACATCCAAAGGGTTTTCATGTTTATTTGCTTCATTCCACAGATTGTAAAGGTTCATTCGCCATCATTGCTAGAGTAGAGTAGTAACGCCATCAACCTATCCAGCTTACAGGCAAAGCCTATAAGGTTCGGTTCTTCAGCGCCATCATTGCTATTTGTTATATGTTTGTCATAAAGTTTATTGCCAAGTTATTGTGTTTTGTGGTTATTTGTTTGAGGTCTCTAGTGGTAAGTGAATATTTTATTAATTTTCTAATCATAGTTATCATTTTAAATTGTATTGGTCTAAAACTAATAGAATTTTAAATTAAATAGGTATATTTAAGTGCAATTTATAAACTTTCGGTTAGTATTGAAGGTAAAACATTAAAGGTGAATACATGCATGCATTTATATACCGTACCTTTATTTGCAAGCTATACATAGGCTCGAGGGTAACAAATGGGCTGATGGATTGGCCAAATTTTGGGGATCATAAGGAGACAGGTGAAATAGGCCCTAAATGATTAGGCTGATAAAAAGGCAAATGATAGCTGGAGGAGTGATGTCAAGCCAGAGACTTCACTTCTTTAGTTATATGTAGTTTTCTGTTCTATTTTATGTTTTCATAAAAATAAATATTTAAATTAAAGAATAAGACTTTTATTTTAAAACCTAATGTTATTTATTGAAAAGTAAATATCCATTGATTCACCATATCCAATACAGATGACAACCATATTGCATACAATACTATATCCACTGGGTATCCATTGGATATCCACACTATGTCCAGGAGGGTCGGACATTTATATATCCAATGGTTATCCATTGGATATCCATACAATCTCCATATTGAATACAGATTACAACCATATTGCATACAATACTATATCCACTGGGTATCCATTGGATATCCACACTATGTCCAGGAGGGTCGGACATTTATATATCCAATGGTTATCCATTGGATATCCATACAATCTCCATATTGAATACAGATTACAACCATATTGCATACAATACTATATCCACTGGGTATCCATTGGATATCCACACTATGTCCAGGAGGGTCGGACATTTATATATCCAATGGTTATCCATTGGATATCCCGGATATCCTATGTATATCCTGGATATCCATAAAAGAAATCCATTGGATATCCATTGGATGTAATTGTTCCGTGTGGGTTATTCCCTTGACGCTCCTCCACGATTGGAGATACGTATATTTCTTTTTCTAAATTTTAAATTAACGGTTTATTTTAGGACTTCTGTAACTTGCATATAAATTAGTTACAGTTTTATCTAACAGATGCCACTAAAATACCATTTTAATGAAAATGTGGAGTTACGTGATTTTCTCCTGAAGGCGACGATATCTGAATTACAATTGATACTTTCTGAAAATCAATTGTGTTATCTGAATTACAATTACTACTTTATTAAAATCAATTGGAATAGCTAAATTATAATTACTACTTTCTGAATATTAACTGGAAATGGTGTAGAAAAATCTTAATTTAATAAAGGGTCGTCGTTTTACAAGCATAGATGAGATTAAAAGCGCTTCGCTATAAGACCTATCCCAAATATTGAGTACTAAAAGTACTAATACTGGAACTAAACCTTTTCCAGTTGATATTGTAATTCAGCTATTCTAATTGATTTTAAGAAAGTAGCAATTGTAATTTAGATAATACTATTGATTTTCAGAAAGTAGCAATTGCAATTCAGAAAGTAGCAAATGTTTTTCAGATTAAATAGAATGAAAGTACGCGTTATCTTTATTAACGAAGTAAATGAATTTTATATAAAATACAAATGAACGAATTCGAATAAATCTGAAAAAGCTAAAAAGCAATTCTGTAAAAGTCCATGTTTACGTGCCAACGGGCATATAGTCAAGCATCAATACTTAAGTATCCAACAAGGCTTGCACCCATGCATTGGCCAATACCGCCGTATAAGACCCCCGTCTTCTCTATAAAGTCCGGTCTACAATTGTCGCAGGTCGCAGGAGCTTGCGCAAAGCACCCAGCTGACAAGAGAACCATCGTCACGTCGCGGAGTGCTTTGCGCAAGCTTATGTTCTGCGATCGGACCCCTGCGACAATTGTAGACCCGGCTTAAGGCTACAATGCCGGCTGAAGATATTGCGGCGATAAGATGAATATGAGCCCCTCTGGATGCCGAAAGTTTCTGCACAGCGCGACCATGTCTTCGGCGGCAAAACAAATTAAAATTGGTTTCATCTACCCATACCATTTGTTTGCCCTGCTGGATGAATTCATTTAAAGAAGAGATATGTGGCGCGTTTTTCTTTATTCAGCGAATTCATGGCCACGGACTCTTTATGCCCATCCAGGTAATTTGCAATTCAACTACTACTAATGTTTTTATTAATAATTTGGAGAATTTTAACTTGAATTTATTTTAAGGTCAGGTCGTATTTAGACTCTACCCAAGCGATGACAATATCTATCCGGTCTTGAGACAAAAGTTTGCATTTTATTCCACCTCGCTTCTTCATTTCGACATCTCCCGTTCGCATCCAGTGATAGGCCGTTTTATACTTTACACCCAAAGTTTGTGCCAAAGTAGCCAAATATTTTCCCCGATTGGCACATGCGACAACCCTCTCCTTGTCTTGTGCAGTATTTTTGTTGTATCACCGCACGCCAAATTGGGCAAAATGCTTCTCCATCATTTTGTAAAATTGGTTCGACACATTTTTGATAAATTATGTGATTACACGGCAGCACTTTAATTGCGGCTACTACAATTCTATTCATAGGAACAAGGCAAATGCAACAATTATCCTTCAGTTCCATATTTTGTATAATCTATGTCCGTACTTGCAATATGTTGACAATTATGACAAATATACCTACTTAAATGGTGATAAATTTGTTTACCTACTCATATTGCATAATTTTGTGTTTTTTTTCGTAAATATTGATAAACATTATAAAATCCCTGCATAACAACGTGAATAATAAACTTATTATTCAAGTTGTTAGGCATCAGTGATTGTCCGATTTCAATATTCACTGTGATTTTAACCAATCAGGTTTTAAATTGGAAGAAGGCGACTACGAAAGTAAGGTTTGACAGATGTCAGATTTTATTTATTTAATTTTTAAAATCATTTAATTATCTACTTATTGGAGTAGATAAAGTATAGTATTTTATTATTATTATGCGCATTATCTCTCGTATAATAATATATTAATATAATTTACAATCCTCATGAAAACAAAGCAATATTAAATATACAAAGAAATACATTAAATTGAGAACCTAATTATAATTATAGAAAATGTTATCATTTGTTAATTTCTAAATTTCAATTGACATATTCTGAATTACAATTGCTACTGTCTGAATACCATTTGTAATTTCTGAATATTAATAGCTATTGTCTGAATATCATTTGCAATATCTGAATTACATCTGCTACTTTCTGAATTTCATTTGCAATGTCTCAAAATCAATTGCAGCTTTCTGAACATCAATTGCTACATTCTGAATATCAACTGGAAAAGGTGTATGTACCTATTACTACAGAAGTACTAAAAAAGCTCTGAAATACTTGTGTTATATTTAAAAAATTATTGTGACGATACATTAGAAGGTAAAACAGCAAAACTAGAAGTTTTTTATTAATAATTTATTCTTAACATACATAATACTATATTACATTAAAAATAATGAGTTCTACTACAGATTAAATTTAAATAATGCAGTTAATGTATAAAATATATAGGTAAACAAAATGTATGACACAAATCGTTAAATTTAAGTAAGTCAACATATAGGTATAATAGTAATAATTATTTAGCGATTTAAATATTATTTTACATTTAAAGCCTAATAAGTAACACATTTCTTTTAAATTGGTAATATTATAATTATTATTGTAACATCACATATATATCTGGGAATACCTACATTTCCTAACATTATATAGATTTTCGATATTGATAAATGAAGCTAATAGTTATAACTTAATAAAAATAGTGTTTGGCAGTTTACAATAAATACGAACATTTTGGTAAATTGTTGTTTCCGAGAGTTGATTTTTATTTTACATATTTACAAAAATACTTTGGTATGGTTTTATTTTATATCTTTGGACTTGATTTCAAACACTATTTTTTAACATAATTCGTAAGAAAAATAACAGCTCAAGAAACATTGAAGAGATGTTGGTTGTATCCATGCATTAATATAGATGATATATATTTACAAAATATTTTAATATAATACCTACATAGTCGATTAGGTTGGAAAGGAAAAATTATTTTGATTATAATGAACTCAAACCAAATAGGAACTTAACATAACGAGCTTTGAAGTTCCTAGAAATATGTGGTTTTATCGAACTTACATTGATTTAAGTATGATTCCTTCAAAAGAACTTTCCCTTACAGTACAATACAATGACTTTACATAAAAAGTAGAAAATATTTACAGTTCCGCATGATCGTAACAATTCGGCTGATAGAAATGAGGGGCATAAAGGGCACCGTCTCGTTTCGGGAAAACGTGATCGTAATACTTTTCGTTATCGTATTGCAACGGTTTAGGTCGTGCGATGGCCGAAGACCTGGTGCCGCTGTCCTTTTTGTGGTATTTTTTGTTATTTAGCGATCGCCTAACGTGCCTGCTATCTGACGGGAACGAGGACCTGTGCGAGCCCATCTGCATCGTCGAGTACGACCAATTGTCCGTTTTGTCCGGATAGTCGTCGTACCGACTAAAGCTATAGTATTTCGATTTGTCCTGCATTGGACCGACATTTTCTAACACCCGTTTGTTGTCGTTGACGCCCTCAGAGTCGAAAAAATCGGGCGACAGCACGCGCGTTCCAATTTTGAGTGTGTTTTGTTTTTGAAGACCTGCATAGTAGTCTTTTGTTTTCTCCTCTAAGCTACTTCTACCGTTGAATGTGTGTGTTGTTTGCTATATGAGTAATTCTTTTATAAACCGAACACCTTTTGACCGACACATCTCAGATTTGGCTGAAACTTTTTTTACGGATTCTATGTCGAAAAATAAGAGATACGTGTCCGAGGAATTTTTTTTCTCTCGCATATTTTCGATAATACAAGCTATCGAAAATTTGAGAATAACGAGTTTTTTGGCTTGGAGACTCATTTTCAAAAATTTATAACTCTGGTTATATTTGAGCTACAAACTTTTTTTTTTTTTCATTTTAAAGCTAAAGTACTGAATTTTGATAAAAAAATATTTTTAATAAATATTATTAACAAATTCATATTGTTATTAACAATTTCATTGTTTAAATCAATATTTAACAATGGCACCCACCTCGTATTAAGTTTTTAGTATTTTTATCGTATTCTCCGTCAAATTTTACATAAAAAACATGTTTTCAAAATATGGTACCTTTATTATTACTATTGTTAAAACATTAATTTGTATTGCGCGACACATAAAAAAACGGTTTTTTGTTAATAAAAAGAAAACTATAGCTCGGATCAAAAAAAGTCATATATAAAAGTTGTAGATAATAAAAAGATATAAAATTTTTATTTTAACTATTTTTTGATATAACCTCACTTTTCAAATAAATTGAAAAATTTCAATTTAATTGAAAAGTATGGTTATGTCAAAAAATAAATAAAATAAAAATTGTAGATCTTTTTATTATCTACAACTTATATATTTGACTTTTTTTGATCCGAGCTATAGTTTTCTTTTTATTAACAAAAAACCGTTTTTTTATGTGTCGCGCAATACAAATTAATGTTTTAACAATAGTAATAATAAAGGTACCATATTTTAAAAACATGTTTTTTATGTAAAATTTGACGGAGAATACGATAAAAATACTAAAAACTTAATACGAGGTGGGGGCCATTGTTAAAAATTGATTTAAACAATGAAATTGTTAATAACAATATGAATTTGTTAATAATATTTATTAAAAATATTTTTTTATCAAAATTCAGTCCTTTAGCTTTAAAATGAAAAAAAAAAGAAGTTTGTAGCTCAAATATAACCAGAGTTATAAATTTTTGAAAATGAGTCTCCAAGCCAAAAAACTCGTTATTCTCAAATTTTCGATAGCTTGTATTATCGAAAATATGCGAGAGAAAAAAAATTCCTCGGACACGCATCTCTTATTTTTCGACATAGAATCCGTAAAAAAAGTTTCAGCCAAATCTGAGATGTGTCGGTCAAAAAGTGTTCGGTTTGTAAAAGAATTACCCATATATGTACAGCATTGTTAGTGTTAGTATTTATTGGTTTTTGAATACGAACAGATCATTTTTTTTATTAAATAATTAAGATCGAGTATATTTTTAATAAATATTAATAATTGAATTAACATTTTATTTATTTTAGGTGAAATTTTGTACACATTAACTGTATTGCCATAGAAAGTATTATTATGATTTTTTTAACAGCGTTAATTAATCATAAAAACATATTATGGAAATGGTCGATACATGAGGCGTCTACTTGCAATTTAATTTAACAGTAGAAAACTATATTATAAGATGTGCTTTATCACGTGATAAACTCAATTTATTTTAAAAGCGGTTAGATGCCGCTAAAAAGTACGTTTAAATTTTGGAATATTTTGCAAAAGTGGCCACAATGATTGTAGAGTTTGTTTCAATATCGGCTACTTCCAAATTACAGGTTTTTAACATCTGCAAAGAATCGCAGTCACCATATTTACACAACAGTGACAGTTTCACATTGAGGTGTATCAGCTTAGCTAGAGATGTCCGATAGTCAAAAATTCGACTATCGATATTTTCGATATGATAGTTTTTGTGATATCGATACTGTTATTACTATAAAAATATTTAAAACAGAATATAAAAAAAATTTTAAAACAACAAATCGTTGTGACCTTAATCAATGGAAAAAACATTATGGAATAAATTGATTTCTTGGAATATTACAAAAAATACTAACTGACAATAATTTGTTTTCTGCATTTTGTGAAGTTGCCGTTTGTGATACGCCTGAAAAAACAGAACAACCTAGTATTTAAATAAATCTTGTTTTATCCTCTTATTCTTTTTGGAGTAGGTAATGTTTTCAGAACGCACCATTGTTTTTTTCTAAACTGATTAAAATTTAATTACTAAAGAATGTTAGTTACTAACCACATTTACTTTGTTATTTTTTTCATTTTTCTTATAATAAACAATAAAAATGCATAAATAAGCTATTTTATTTTTTTCCAAAATCGGCCGCATCCATACTTCAAGTTTTTATAAGATCTTTACTATCACTATACGATTTCTAGATTTTTGCTCAAAGTAATATCTCATTAAAGGTAATATATCAAAATAATTAAAAAAGAAAAAATCCTTCTGTGTTAAGAGTAAATTATCTTAAAATGGATGCAGCCGGTATTTGCAAATAGACGCCTCATATAATAGTATATTTTCTACTCCTATTACAAAATATGACCGTTCTAATATCACTTTTTAACGTGGAATGAGATATATTCCTTAAAGTATTACAGAATGAATTATTCTATCACCGGATACGAGAGCGAAATATGCAATTTCAAATGTGTTTCAAACTATACATTTTCTATACCGTAGAAAAATAATTTAATTGGGAGAAAGTAAGGTTGAATCGGTCTAAAAGTTGTTAGATTATATTCACAGAGATGTCGCCACCAGGGTTTATTCCATCATCCAGTGATAGAATAATCCATTCTGTAACACTTTAGGGAATATATGTAATTCCACATTAAAATAGTATATTCTATAACAAGTTTGGAATAAGGCATATTCCGCTCGAGGGAAAAGTTTGTCACACGAGTCGAAGGCGAGTTTGACGGTTTCACGAGAGGGGAATATGCAATTCCAAACGTGTTTCAGATTATACTTTTTCTACGTTTCCAAAAAATACCATTGACAAATAATTTAAGAAAGTGAGGTTGGGTCGGTCTAAAATTTGTTAGATATTAAAAACAGAGATGTCGCCACGAGTGTTCATTCTGTCATCAGATGATAGAATATTTCATTCTGTAACACTTTACGGAATATATGTCATTCCCACAGATTATACATAGATAAAAGTGATATTAGAACGGTCATATTCCATAATAGGAGTAGAAAAAGTGATATTAGAATATTCTATTCTATTTTATTTTAACTCTAAAATTCTTTATATTAATGACGATTATCGTCCTACTGAACATGCAATTAGATATAGACCAAGAGGTAGTATAACACATTTTAGAGAACGTCTTATACCAGGCTGCCTCTTGGGGGATAAACTATTTGGGTCATTAAGGTACGATAAAAGCAATAAAAAATCCCCTACCTTGTCGCGCATGTAGGCAATTATCTAGAAAATGTATTAAAAATGAGACGGATATAGCAATCAAAACCATTATTATAACAATAATAAAATGCACATTTTTTTATATATATAAACTATTCGTACCAGACTGCCAGTTTACTGTTACAAAGAACATGCCATTGTAAGACGTATGCTTCATTGGCAGCCGGTTATACCATGTATATATTTTTTGCTTCTAAGGGGCTGTATATTAATTGGAGGTCGCAAGCGATTTCAAAAATGAAAACAATTGCTGGAGGATTCTCGGGACAATGACGGAAAATCTTAAGAATATAAATTTCTCAAGTTATTTTTTACTTGGGTTTCATCAACATTATTTGTTTACAGTCTAAAAGCAATTAAAATACCGTATACCCTAGTGGACATGGACTATTATAATCAATCAATAAAAAAGATAATCGAAGAAGATAAGGATGATGAGAACGATGAAGATGTAAAAGATAACAAGAGAGAAACAGGGAAATGAGAAGAATAAAAAAAATAAAATTTTTGTATTAATAATTAATTAATTAATGTTACCAGAGAAAATAATAAATATACCTACATCATCTTTTAAATTTATAAAATTGTTCTACCTGCTGTATAACCGTATGCCAATAAAGCGGATGCCAAGTTTATTTTCTGATATGTATATATATATACGTATACGTATATATGTATCATATATTATAATTCGATCAAAGAAACCCAACCATTCATTGGCATATAATTAAAAAATATTAAGAAGTCATGTACACGTGCAAACCGACTGGCACTTGTTTTAATTTGTTTTTTTAACGCGTTTTTCAAGTTAATGCCTGTTAGGTACTACAAGTTAAAACTGGCTGCCATTATTCTTCCGATGGATTTATTTCTTATAAATTTTAATGGAAGCCTGGTATGTATTCTTTTTTATGTCTCATTTTCAATTCATTTTCTAGATAATGCCATACATGTGCTACATGGTAGCGGGTTTTTTATTGCTTTTATGCCTAAATGGAGCAAATATTTGGTCCTACAAGATGCTGCCTGGTATAAGGCGTTTTATAAAATTTGTTAAACTATAGTTATAATTATAGGCATACCTTTTGGTCTAATATATTTTAAAGGGGGTCTGTTAAGGATATATTCATTTATGTTGTTACTGTACGGAACAGCATTGTAAATAACCCTTTAACCAACAAATTCCATAATATGTTTTCCAATACGCTTTTAATTTAAAATCCTAAAGTTATTATGGTTTTTAAAATCAAAGGTAATCTCCCGGTGCATTCGCCATTTTTTAAATTAAAATTAAATTAGTATACTAGTACAGGTCAGGTTTAATTAATCCAGGTTTTCCTTTTTTATTATATTATGGTTAATAGCCAATTTAAATTAAGATAATACCAGCAAATAAATTTTAATAAAATTATGCAAGTGTTTCTCAGAATTAATTTTCTATTAAAGTTAGGTAATAAAATAATATTGTATGATAAAATATTAATTGAAAATTAAGATTAGATTCTCGAGTAAATTTCCAACCAAAAAGTGGTATTTTAATTTAATTTGCAAA